GGGCAGTGGGGGGGGTGGGGGGGGGGGAGTTTCCTCATCGTGCCGACAGTGCCACATCGTATAAATAACGATCGAAAATCGGCCTCTCTTTATCCACTCGCTCTCGCCGGGAAAATGAAGCGAGAATGAGTTCGTAAATATGGCCGCGTGCACGGCTGATAAAGTAAGCCGCAGGTAAGCCGGACGCGCTTCAACTGCTTCGCGAGCGCCGCCTCTCGCTCGTTCTTCTTTTTCGGCTTCGCTGCTTGCACGCGATTTATTTGCGGCGACGCAATGCAGGAGAAAAGAGCGACTGCACACGGGAGCGGCAGGGGCATAAAGATTGGAAGTCGAGGTTTTACGGCTTTCACGCCTAAAGAGCATGTCCTAACGAAAATTACTTGTACGAGGCCTGCTTTGGCGAGATTCCATTGTTTAAAGCTTTAATTTCTTCGTGTGCGCGCGAGCATGTCGAAAGTACAAGAGACCTGGACTTTAAATGATTTAAACATTTAGCAAACTTGTATTTGCGAATTAAACATTATCGGCAACGTGGCCTCTGTTATTATTTATATCCCCGTGACCTTCTTAAGTGACCGCTTATCTTACTATCTAGAGGCGCGATGCTTTAGAAATGCACGAATGATCATGTGAAGGCAAATTGACATGGAGCAATTGAAAAAGTATAGGGTGGCGAATGATCAAATTAAATGATTACAGTCTCGATATTTTGTTAGCCTTTTAACGATGAAAATGCGTGCAGTGCAGTTTAAAGTACGTCTCGAGCACTTGAACTGTGCGACTAAATATTTCAAGTAATTACCTTTTATAATCTATAATTCTTATAACTTGTTTATGTCGCTTAGTATCTACCGTGTACGTTAACATTACTAATGAATTCACAAGTTTTCACTATTTAATTCATGTTTGTCGACAAAAAAAAAAAAAAAAATTACTATGGCACTTTGAGATTGTTTATTAAGACTTTTCACTCGAGACTTTCGACTCAAGTGACGTTCCTATGCTTGTGAATGAATTTTCCGCGAGCGAGAGTACTTAATTGATTATAGAAATTCACTTCAAATACTTAGTATCTTACAAAGATATTAATTTTAAATACTAATTTTAATATAATTTAATTACCAAACACTGCTTTAATGTACTTTAAGGCAGCTTATTAATTTAAATAAAAATTTTAATATTTAACTTAGCCGTTTAGGAGCGATATATTAGAATTTTCACATAAATATTGTTCACGCGATGAATCATCGAAGCCATGAGCAATTATTGAATAAACTTTCAGCCCTACTCGTCATAGAACGTCCTACTTTATCTAAACGAAAATTTTTCCCTTTCCCCCATAATCAAAAAGTATTTGTCCTATTTTTATCGTCCTTATGGCTCTTGAGAACAGCCATTGCTTTATTCACGGTCTAGCGCCACTGGATCGACCTTTCCCTTACTTATTCTCACTGATATTCAAAAACCGGGAAACAAAAGCGTCTTCCTGTTCAAGTTGATAATAGCCTCCTGAAATACAATAGCTTCTAAACTCCAATATGGTATGGAGTTTCCCACGAAGACATCCTTAAGATTGATGTGAATCATAATAGCTTCTCTTTGAATAAATAATTCAAACTGTTTCCCCTTTATACGTTATTAATTACGATTATCATATAACGGATACGATGTTAAAAAATGTTCAATTTATGACAGCTCGAAGCTTTCAACGAATTACATTTTCAATTTAAATTTCACTCTGCAAAATTTCAATATTACATATTAAATTTAGGCAATGAATTTATAGTTTTGTTACATAATCAAATGGCATAAAGACGAATACGCATTACGTTAGTTAGTAATCAGGATGAAATGAAGTAATCGCGTGTTTAGAAATAAAATTTGTTATATTTGTATGGAAATGTGTGGACAAGCTACAGTAGGAAATTTCCATCACTTAACAGACAATAATATTATGAAAATAATACAAACGAAAAATTTTTGCTTAACCAAAAACATTCAATTTATTGGAATTTCAATTTGTGGACATTTAATTTGTGTATTATATAATATGTTTCAACAATAATTAATATTCCTCAATCTATAAGTAGCGGAAAAACTTTTTAAAAAACTTAATCACTTTTTTCTTATCTTCTTGCTATTAAATATCACAACACTTATTTCGTGACTAAACTCGAAAAGCCACTCGCAAGAAAAAAGCTCTTAATTTTAGTTGAGAAAATTTTTACAAATATCTTTTCGGTGAATTGCGAAGCGTCTCTCCTCTGAAAATTGAACATTGCGAATGTACCATTCATACGCATCCCATTTTCCGAGTGCTAATTCAGGTTTATTAAGTTTAAAGAAAATTTTATAAACACATAAGTATAATAAATTTGTGATTATTTTTACCTGGATTACAAAATAAAAATATTACATTTCATTGCGTACACGGAGCTGACGGATTTCATGGAATATTTAATATAAAAGTATCTTTGAACATTCTTAAAGATCATCTTACGTCTTTATAATTAATTATGATCAATTTTATACGCCAGCTATTGTGCTTTGCCATTACAACTGTAAGTAAAGATACAAAACTATATTACGTCTACCTAATAAGTTATTATAAATTTATAATTGATGAGAAAACTAATATTATAAAATGTCATATTTTTAATGTTTTATAATAAGTGCTGGATAACTTATATCCCCACCACATACATAAAAATAACTTACAAATTCATCTAACTAACTTATTATTTGACGTAAAGTTTTAAAACTACAAAATGTTCTTATTTTTAAATTAAGAAAATACATTTTATGTTTCAAAACTAAGTTTATTCATTATTTTCTCAAACAAAATTTTTTTTCATCATTTTGAAATGTAGATAGCCATCTACGGCGAAAAAGAAGTTTCACGATAATTTCATAAAACTGTGCATAAGAAATGCGTTAAAAATATCGCTTTTAAAAAGTATTTATTTATTTAATACATAGTCACATGTATATATATATATATATATATATATATATATATATATATATGTATCACGACTGCAATTTTTTTAATTATTTTTTTTTGATTTTCTTTTTTTATACCAATATATATAATGCAAAATAATATTTTTGATTATTTGATACATTTTTTATTGTATTTTCATAAACATTAGCGTACAATGTTGGCGAAAATTCATCAAATTTTGTTAAATCATAGCATAATTTTATATACTTGAAACTAATCGACAAATAATGTACATCATATTCTTAAAAATTTTGAGACTTTTATTTACACTCTACTTCACTTACTTTGCAACAAAATTTAAAAAATAATATTCTATAGGCATATTTACAAATACAAGCAAATTTAATTAAAAAATTAATTTAATACATTATGGCAGATTAATGTTGATAATAATATCTTAACGCAATTATAACATTTCATTGGATTAACTGAAATGTAGTAGAACGTTATATCGACAAAATCAAATAGGCATGGAAAAGATTCCTAACGTCGCCCCTCCACCCGCGCCCTCCGCAGTCTCTTTCATTCGATTATAATATCCTCTTTCACGATCCACCCTGTCCATCCTCATCGCAATCATCGAATCTTTGCTGAATTTGTTACAGGTACTGGCCGGCAACATGGACACATCGACGGTCGTATCGCGACAGCTCATACCAGCAATCTTCGCTACGCGGCTCCGTATCCTGCCGCACTCGGTGCATCGGCGCACCGTCTGCCTCCGAGTCGAGCTCAAAGGCTGCCAGGATCTCGGTGAGTATGTGCGTGAGTGCGCGGCACCGTGTCTCCAATGACTCAAAGACGTCCTCGACTGAGCGAAACCACGACTAGTGTCTTTATCCCCCCCCCCCCCCCCCCCCCCCCCCCCCCACCCCACACCCCCCCACCACTCACCACGACGCAACGCCCTCACGCCCCTATCCCCAATCACCCCGGAGACAGTAGGATAGTGAGAGGTAGTCGTTGTCTTTCTCAAGGTGTTACGTAGCTACGTGCGATGCATCACGGCCCGCGAGTTTTGTCGATTCTGCTGGGAATTTTAATTAAGCCACGAATTCGCCGCGACTGTTAATCGGTGCTTATGCATCTGCATCACTTTTCTATTGCTTTTTCTTATCGCGACTTCGCGTAAGGAGGGATCGAGCATGTTGCGATATTCGATTTTGAGTTACAAACTTGTTTACACTGCTCGCTGGAAAATTCATTACGATGTCTGATTACGCAAACTCGGCTGAACCTAACGCACCTGTATTGATCGACCGTAGACAATATTAGTTGTTTTATTTGCTCTTCTACTCCTATTAATAATTGCAAACAATTGACTTACACTTTAGTTTAACGATTTGCGTAGATACAAGCTTTTATTATTATTATTTTTGTGACATTAATTAGATATTCAACATTATATTCTCCAACTCGGAAGATTGGAAAGGGATAATGTGTTTCAGAGCTAAATGTTTGTCAAAGATATTTTTATGCCGATTGCATATAAACGGAAACTAGCATTGAGCCATCCAATGAATGCAACGACTATAAACATAATTCTTTTAAAATAATCTTTTTTCGCCATCATGGAAATATGGATTATTCCATTTTTACACAAAGGTTACTAATTAAAAACGGACCATATTGCAAAAAGGTCCCCTCTGACGTTTTCATTGTAATGATACTTTAATTATTATTATTATTAATATCTCATAATATTCAATACTTTCTCTCTCTCTCTCTCTCTCTGTGTGTGTGTGTGTGTGTGTGTGTGTGTGTGTGTGTGTGTGTGTGTGTGTGTGTGTGTGTGTGTGTGTGTGTGTGTGTGTGTGTGTGTGTGTGTGTGTGTGTGTGTGTGTTGTTGTTGTTGTTGTTGTTGTTTTTTAAATTTGATGTGGCTGCAGTTACTCGGGATGAGTCAAAATACTTTTTAGCCTTACAACGATTACCTTTTAAATTTCATTCAATACGGAATATATTTAAAAAAAAAAAATAAATAAGTATAATGAAATATTTTATCTATAGGACAAAATTTTGTTAATATATCGATAATTTGCATGTGAGTTGTTAAGTCGGTAACATGAATGACAAAGACATACGTAAAAATACCAGTAATTAAGACTAAAGACTTCAATATAATCCAAGTCTCTAACTCTAATCAATACTGTAGAGCTTATCAATAATCAATAACCTTAAATTTATTGACTTCCATGTTACTATGGAACCATTAATATTTCGCCAAGAGCCCAACCTTCTGCCTGATTATCCATAATTTTCGTATCATCTTCTCTCTGCCTCCTAGTTTTCGCCTACGGATTTTATAGGAAATATGCGTCTTTCATCATTCTCCGCTTTCTATTTCCTGCAGCGCTCCGCAGATGCGGCGCAATCGAAATATTGGCGAAAAAACTGTAGCGAAAGCAGCGAAAGCAGCGATGAAACCCTTTGACGGGTTGAAGTTTTTATAGAGCCGAGCGCTAAAAAACGAACAATTAGAAAAATTTTAGACCCCGAAGGATTTGGCAAGTCCCGGAGAAACGCGTAAAGGAGTCACGTCAAGTATTATTCCAATGGAAGTTTGTGATTTAACCGTTTGCGAGTAGACCACTGGATTCTGAGTTTCACGGAACAAATCGTTTCAGCCGTAATGACGGCTTTAGCCGGAAATTATTTTTATCGGTCTCTCGCAACTCGCAACGGAGAATCGATTTATTTAAAATTTTGCTCGTTAACTTAACAAAAATATTTACATTGTTTTTATATTATCGTCGTTAATATCATCTTCGAAAATCAGCCGTAATTAATATTGTTATAAAAATTATAAGTAAATAATATCGTCCAATTATTAAAAGTGTTTGCATATTTAATTGTCAAAATACTTCATTAGGCTAATTTCATATTAAAAATACTTTCATAATTTTAGTTGACTTTGGGCCTTTAGATCTTAATAGAATTACCGCAAATAAACCGAATGAACATTAACGATGGTCTGTAAGAGAGAAATAGCGTGTGAGAGAGGGGATGAGGTGGGGAGGAAACGAGAGAGCGAAAGTGAGAAAAGTAAGGATGTGTTAGAGGAACGGATGTTTCTCATACTTCGATTAACCGACAAAGAATATCTGTCTGCTGAAAATTAATCTTTCACTCTGTTTATTCTTATCTCTATCTACCAATTGCTTTCATTTCATTCATTACTTTACCTCTTTCCTCATCAATTACCTACGTCCTTTATTGTTTTACCGGAAGATATAAATTTGCAAATATTTCGTGCAAATATTGCAGGGAGGAATATTCTCAGGTATATTAATATACATTAATTTCAATTTATCACCCTTACTCATAAATTCATAAAAATTCAGTTGAAAATTATGTCTTAAAATTAAAACAATTCTGAAATTCCGAGATAAATAAATGTATATATTATTTAGTAATTTGATGAGCATGAGATGTTAGACACTGCAGAAGAGGGCCAAAAGAAGGATAAAACAAGGAGTAGTTAATCGGTTGAATGACGTAGTGACATTGCCAGAAGAAGAGATTGGGTTCGGAGTTCGAGTAGCTGATCCTAAGAACATGGATTACGAAAGTGCGAGTAAGATAAAAGGACGGGTTGGGGTGAGGGGAGGGTAGCAGAAAAAATATATAAAGGGAAGGCTGGTAAGGGTATTAATGCGGGTGGAGGAGGAGGTGGCGGTGAGGGGGAGTAGTAGTGAGGTGACAATGGGAGTTATTGAGGTAGAGAGTATGGGCTGGTAGAGCGGAAGTTGGATGGAAGTTGGGTGGATGTTGCTACTCACGGTGTACAATGGTAGTTGACCGATGAAGTGACATAGTTCTTATAGCGAATTCGGCAAAGATTTTTCAGTAAAGGAGAGATTGTATGGTGGTAGTCGTCTGTCGCAGTTGCTATTATATATTCGTTGACTTTTGTTGACGTTTGCCGACACTTCAGAAGTCAATGCCACTGATAAAATGGCATTCCAAAATTTATGTTTGTTAGAACTTTGTATAAAGAAGGAGTCGTCACGGATATTCGCTAGGAGTATCGATGAAAGTTGGAAAACTGTAGAAAAATTTAATATATATATATATACATATATATATATATATATATATATATATGTATACATACATCATCAATAGATAAATGATCTTCGTGTTTCTTTGCTCCGTGCATTTCTCATGTTGAGTTATCTCTCGCGAATAATGTACTGATGGAGAGAAAATACTCAACCATTCACATGGCTCTTATTGTTGCCGCCTGTTGCTCTTTCTCTTTCCCCTTATTATTTGCCTTTTGGCTAATAATTAGTTTTAAACAAGATAGTCTGCGATCAACGTATAATTGGTTGTTTGCTGAATATTCATTTAAAATATCAGATGATGCTCGAGGCTTCCTTGAACTAAGCTTAAATCACGATTTTCTAGAGCCATTGCGTTATTTATAAATTATTTAATCATCGCTATTTATTGTGTTTGTCAATTTTTTCTAAAAAAAAAAAAAAAAATTCTAAAAACTTATGTAATTACGCACACAAGTATGTGCACAAGTGCAAGCTCAACGCACATTAAATACATTTATAAGCTTTAAACGTAATTTCGACCATTGGTATTTTCCATTAAATCCCTGAAACGCGTTGAGTGTGTTTTAATGAATAATATAAAGTTAGTACGTCTGAAAGTAAACGATTTTCTACCACGAAATTTTGTTTCCACGGTAATGAAAAGTACAGTTAATCGTTGTCTTTGAAGATTTTCTACAATTTTAAATTCAAATGTTCGATAAATCGCAAATATATTTGCAGTACGATCGATCATTTCGTGAAATTTATGCACGCAGATGAATTTTCGTTAGGTTGTAGCAGATAAACCGAAAATGAAAAGGCAAAAGGTATATAAAATTGAATTTTTAATAAACCAAATGCGCTAGAAGCATTGATAGAAGAGTAGGGAACGCTCATCTTTACGGTTACTCCACATTCCGTATTATTTCCTTCCGACAAAAAATCTCACGCTACTTCCGCTCAAACTGACAACCCAAGAACGCTACAATACGGAAAAATCCTGGCTGCATGCGCACATAGCACGAGCGCCGCTCGGGAATTGATGAAAAGGAGAGCGCAGACTCGGTCAACTTTAGCCGTCTCTCGGTCGTTTAAAACTATGTCACGAATGCTCGCTTGGAATATCGAGGGAAGCGCGAGAGAAAGGAATTATTATAATAGCAAAGTGTTGGTTCGTTATCGAGTGTAACAATGGAGCAAGCGGTGCATTCGATTTGCGAGCGCTGAAAGGAGATGCCGAGCAATCGTGGAAGCTCAATGATTCGCCTGATTTGCTTTGATTTAGTGCTTCGAGGACTGAATTTGTTCCTTAAGCTGCTGCCTTGCCGAGGGCTTGGAAAGACATGGAAAGTTCGGTTTCGTCGATGAATACCTCCATGCCCGAATCATTTTGTTTTACCTTTGTGGTATTTTTACTTACCATGTGCTCCCATCGTTTGCTCCGACTTTTTACTACTTTCTGAATAACTTTATCTGGATAACTTTATCGTGACATACACTTATATCATGACATATCACTCATCGATTTTGAAAAATATCATCCAAGTCTTTCGATATGTATTTATTTTCGGAATAACGAAATAAAAAAAGATATTTAGCCTCTTCGTTTTTAAAAGCTGACGAGGAGGAGAAGGGCGGGAGGCGGGGGGGCGGGGGGTATGTGGAATTTTTCACGAGATAGAAATATTTATATTCGATACCAAT